AACAAATTTATAAAGCGATAAAACAGAAATATTTCTACAAATAAATAATTAAATTCAAGGAAACGTAAGAAATGTTAGATTCGAGTACATATTTATTCATATGATTTTAATAAATAAATTAATGTAGACAGTACAAATGTATGTCTTTGTCTATGTGTAAATGCGCTTACGTATACACAAACACATAGATGAATAATAGAAAATAAGAGTAAGTGAAAAGGTATGTTGCACTCAGACCCAAGTAGAGGGACTCATGCAACATTTTTAGACAAATTTAAGAGAGAGGGTAAGGGCCCGAGAAAATAGACAAATAATTCTACAAATAATAACAAATAATCTCTCTCGTTGTCCTGACGTCCTAGTGTTAATATCGTACATAGTTTAAGTAAGTTTCAATAGACCACGTGTAAATCTATTGTATAAAAAGTAAAACGACATTTGTAAAGGTAAAGTAAAATCGTAAAGTGAAACCAACTAAAATAAATTAAATCAACAAGGTTCATCAATTTTTTATCAGGTATATTTTTTAAATTATTAATATTTGTGAATTTGGTAATATTGTAAAATCGTCATATGAAAGAAAAGTTAACTTCAATCACTGTGTAATAATTGTAACTATTGTAAATTAACTAATGATATTAATTTTGGATTTAAACAATATATGTATTAAAATTATTCAACTACATCAATTTATTCAAACAAACTTATCATTCTCAATAAACTAAAACTCGGAAATTCCCGGTCTATTAGCCTAACACGCTAGGACCAAATACTTAAACACATTAAATATTTTAAATGTAAAATTAATTAATTACCCTAAATTAAATATTTTTTACATAACAAAAGGTATTTATTAAAAAATTTTGAAAGTAGAAAAGACATTCGAATTCCAAATACCAGATTATAAACGCGCTGCGAAGTGAAAGTGATAATAATCGAGTAAAAACGAGGAATAGCATAAAGACTATAATGAAATAGAGTTTTATAAATTTAATAAAATGTCAACTGATGCAATTGATTACCCGAAGTGCGAAGGTATAGTATAGCTAAATTACAACACAACAGACGTCGTTGTAACTCATGTGTTATAAGTTATAACTTATAACTTATAGCGAGTATATATAGATTTATAAATAACTAATACAACTTATAACATATAACACACAACATGTAACTTATAACGTAAGGAAGCAAGTGTATCAGTTTGCTATGGAATGACTCAGAGAGAAAGTAAAATGGTTACTATAATATTTTTCTTTCTTTAGCTTCTTGTTTCTTGATATCATTATTATAAATATAGTTTATAGTTTCGGTCACTGAACTTTTGTTTATAATTTTATAAATTAAACTTTAAGCCCAAAATTTTAAGATTTAAAAAATTTGAGGACTTGTCCTTAATTTTTAAAAGTTTAAAGTGATATTATTGGCGGTGATATTGAAGATAAAATATTATAAGAAGCCTTTTTTATAGAGAATTCAATTTTTTATAAAAAATCTCAAACAATTTTGCTCTATCTCTAATTTTTAATCAGAAATTTTAATTTTAAAGTTAGAAATTAAATTTGAGGACTTGTCCTTAATTTTTTAAATGCAATTTTTCGCTGATATATTGAGGATATAAAATTATAAAAAACCTTTTCAATAGAGAATTAAATTTCCTATAAAAATAAAAATTTAAGGATTTGTCCGTAATTTTAAAAAGTTTAAAGTGATATTATTGGCTGAAATATTGAAGATACAAAATAATTATAGAAACCTTTTTTATAGAGAATTTAATTTCCTACAAAAAAGCTTTCACTATTTTTGCTCTACCTCTAATATTTAATCAGAAATTTTAATTTTAAAGTTAGAAATTAAATTTGAGGACTTGTCCTTAATTTTTAAAATGCAATTTTTGGCTAAAATATTGAAGACAAAAAATTATAAAAAACCTTTTGTCATAGAAAATTAAATTTCTTATGAAATTTAAGGACTTGTCCTTAATTTTTAAAAGTTAAAAGTGCGATTACTGGCTAAAATATTGAAGATAGAAAAAAATTATGAAAACCTTTTTTATAGAGAATTTAATTTCTTACAAAAAAGCTTTTGTAAATTTTGCCCTATCTCTCATATTTTTTGCAAAATTTAACTTTAAATATTAAAAATGAAATTTAAGGACGTCCGTAATTTTCAAAAGTTTAAATTTATTTAAAAAAATATTATTATTTACTACTGAAGTATAGATATATTTTCGTGGCTAGTGTTTACTTCCGGTACATTAGCTTCTGATCTGTATACGCATATATATAGAGCAGTAACAATAACATGGCGGACAGTAGCACATAATAGAAGAGCGTTGATGTTGATAGACACGAATAGGGTAGAGTCACTATCAAACAATGAGACCATTGTTTGTTTCGTCATCTTTTTATTTACATTAGCAAACTTTATTATTATTAATTTTCTTTTTATCCTTAACTAGAAAATAAAATTAAATATTTATAAAAATATTTTTAAATTATTAATAAGTCTAATATTTCTTCCCAAAAAAATTGCTTATATATTAAATAAATAAATAATTTTTTAAATATCTAAATAAATTTATTAACAGTCAATAAATTAATTTATTCTTAAAAATCAGGTTATTTCTTCAATTTTATCTCAAAAGATTAAAAAAATTTTCTGAACCATTTTTAGCATAAAGAAAAAATTTTCCTCAACATTATATTGACCAGTCATAAAAAAACGTATCGGAAAAATTACAATAAATGTGCTGGTACACGTGACAGGTCACAGCAAGTTCATATAAAAATTTCTCTGACTTTAACCACGTGGTAAAGCGCATAATAAATGATCTTCTTGCAAGTATTTACTGCGGCGCAAAAAACAGTTTGAGATAAACGAAAATGGTAAACAAAAGTCGAGCCAGCTTGTTTTTTATTTTTATTGATCACAATGACTTCCAAGGCTACTTCCGTACTTGCTCGAAAAATCTTGTAATTTATAACAAATAAAATTCTCGTACACATACATAAGATTACATATGGCTCGTAGTAGGGGTCTCTATTCATAGAAATGAGTCATTGTTGAGATGACGACGCGAATAGCCTAAGCTGAATTTGCGCACTAGTCATGTCTGCTTGCAATTTATATTTTTATTGGATTGTATATCTAATTGGGTATGTTAATATAAATATAAATATGTATCGTGTAGGTACATCTGTTACATTTTATTTAATTACGTTTTAGGATTAGATGCATTGTATAATATAATTGTAAATATTAATACGCGTAATTTGGAGCCGCAATGACAGACCTAGACCTTTTGGGAAGAAATAAGGGTGAAAATTTCAAAATTAACTATTGGCAAACTAGTGACTCATGTCTAAAATCTTTGGGTATTAATAGATAGACTAATAGAGTGGATATGTGGTAATAGCGATGTAGTGAGAGATTGACCAGGGACTTGACTAGCTTTTGATGTAAGAGTCAACTTTTAGATAAAGAGACCACACCAGTTATGCAATGCTTTGGACACAGAGACACTTTCGGGTAAATAATCACTTCCATACGGGCTTGTGTGTGTTCTGTCATGATTTATGTGCCGATACAGATATATAGCTATAAGATTATTGTATATTGTATACTTATGAGCGTGAGTCATTCAGCACAGGGCATCGTTGTCATCGTAATTATTCTTCGACGTACTTTCTGTACGGAGAATTTTATTGAGAAATTCTTTTTTTTAATTAAGTTTAAAGAAAAGTTTCATTTTTTTAGGATGCATTGTTGAAGAAATAATTGTAATTGTTAAGAAGAATTGAGAATGGTCAAGTTTGGACACTAAAACTGGCTCAAAAAATTTTAATCAAATTGAAGAAATAAGCTGGAAAATATCAAAAGTTTTTTAAGCTTTTGATTTAAAGCTCCTGATTTTTAAGAATTTCTTCTTATTTAGAAAAAAAGTTGTTCATTTATTTAGTAGATGCAATTATGGATAGTCATATGATAAAATTTTTAGTAAAATTTAGTGTCATTGCAAAGGTCTTGACTTGAATTTGTGCCTTTTTAAGGTTTCATATCATTTGCACTGATAGTCAATTTATTATAATCAATATTTGGGGTGTATTCAAAAATTCTCTATTTCTAGATACATAATTAAGAAATGACCTTGTATCTTGTGAACTATTGACATTTTTAAAGAAATAAGCTCATCCTGATGATACACTCATCGAGACCTTTCATTTGAGTACACACATCAATTTTTCATATATTTTATATATTTATATATATATATATATATATTATATATATGTATATATCGAAAATATATCAAAAATGCTTGTGGGTACTCAAATGAAAGCTCTTGATGAGTGTAACCTCAAGATGAGTTTATATCTTGAAAAATATCAATAATTAAAAAATTGCCTTGTACCTTGTGAACTATTGACATTTTTAAAGATATAAGCTCATCCCGTTGTTGCACTCATTAAGACCTTTCATTTGAGTACCCACATCAATTTTTCATATATATCATATATATATATTTATATAAATATATGAAAAATATATCAAAAATGCATGTGGGTACTCAAATGAAAGCTCTTGATGAGTGTAACCTCAAGATGAGCTTATATTCTCAAAAATGTTAATAGTTAAGAAGGTTAAAGATGACATTTAAAAGTTAAAAATATAAGCTCATCCTGAGGTTACACTCATCAAGAGCTTTCATTTGAATACCCACATCAATTTTTCATATATTTTATATATTTATATATATGATATATATGTATATATGAAAAATATATCAAAAATGCATGTTGGTACTCAAATGAAAGCTCTTGATAAGTATAACCTCAGGATGAGCTTATATTCTCAAAAATGTTAATAGTTAAGAAAGTACAGGCCAATTTAACTAAAGTCATTATTTTGTAAAGCAAAATTTTATTTATAATAATAATAATAATAATAATAATAATAATAATAATAATAATAATAATAATAACAACAATAAAACTCACCAAGTAAAAGCACAGGTTCTATATTATCCTCAACAAGAGCAGCGAGTACCAAAAAAAGCGGATGTTCCGCTGGCAAATGTTCCAATCCATCGGAGCAGTCATCATAAATGACAACTTCTCGGTAATTTTTCCGCCTGAGTAATTCCTTGTCGTCTTTCTCAGGAGTGAGATCAGCTAAAGCGACTTTTTTCTGCAGTAGTCGCTTTCTATTGATGCGATCGCAGCAATTTAAATTAATCGCGCCGCGAATATGGCTAGCATTGTAAACAGTAAACGGCCGACAGTCGAGAATCACCAGGTCAGTGGTGGTGTTGATCCTGCTGGCAAGAACATTGGATTCGATGGTCCTGCACTTCTGGAGCACCAGTTGTCTCTGGAGATTCCCCGCGTCAGGGAGGCAAGGACTCGTTGGTAAGGAGGCGATCCCTGCTTCTAGTTTGGACCGCTTTGAACACGAGCTGGTGGGTAAGACACTTCGGAGGTAGTTGAACTGAAGATTGTAAGACTGGTGGTGGAGACGGTGAATGTCGTCCCCGATGTCGATGCTATTGGTGCTGCCACCACTGGCATCCTGGTTGCTGCTGCTGGAGGAAATCGTCGACAATGTCGGCGAAGTCGGGGTTAGCAGGTACCGTTCAGCTGGACCTGGACCTGGCTCGGAGAGACTTCGGTTCAATGCCAGCTTCAGGTTGTCCCGAGGTCGTGAAACTGGCTCGTAGACTAGGGTTGACATTGTTGGTTTTTTGTAATTTGCCGGGCTCGAGGGTGGAGAAACTGAAAAAAAAATATTTTATTATTAGGCATAGTTGATAACTATTAATAGTAAATTTTTTATAAAAATATCTATAATAGTTACTACAGTAATAATTAATTGTTACTATTATTAATCATAAAAACTATCGATAGTTGTATTGATAAGTCATAGTAGTTATTATGAATAGTTTTTACTACAAGCTACATTTTTTTGTAGTTATTTCAGTTCAACACTTAGATTATGAATGATAATAATTATCAATAGTGGTAATAACTATCAATAATAGTTGTAACTATTGATAGTAGCAATAGCTATCAAAATTATTAGTAACTATAGATAGTAGCAATAACTATCAATATTAGTAGTAACTATCGATAGTAGTGATAGCTATCTACATTAGTAGTAACTACCGATAGTAACAATAACTATCAATAATAATAATAATAATAATAATAATAATAATAATAATAATAATAATAATAGTAGTAGTAACTATCGATAGTATCAATAACTATCAATAATAGTCATAATTATTAATAGTTTAGAAACTATTACGTTTTTTAATTAAGAAGAACTACTGATTGTTATTTTAATACAGTAGTGCCACTATTAATAGTGATAACTATCATTAATACTAATAACTATCGATATTTGAAAAACTATTACATTATTTAAATATTATAAACTATTAACAGTAGTTATAGTACATTAACTATACAACCATCAATAGTAGTAACTATCGATAGTAGCAATAACAGTAATAACTATCGATAGCTAAGAAACTATGACATTTTTTTAACATTAGGAACTACTGATAGTTTTGATAATATAAAAGTACAACTTTTAATAGTAGTAACTACAAAGAATTAATGATAACTATCGGAAATAGTAGTTGTAGTTATCGATAACTGTACTATCAATAGTAGTAATAACTCTCGATAGTTAAGAAACTATTACATTTCTTAAGCATTAGGAACTACTGAGAGATAGTAGTAACTATAAATCGTAGCGATAACTATCAATAAAAGTAGAAATAACTACCGATATAGTTAAGAAACTATTACATTTTTTGAACTACTGATAGTTATTATAGTTCAATAGTTCAACTATCAATAGTCGTAACTATCGATAGTAGCAATAACTATCAATAATATTCATAACTATCAATAATTAAGAAACTATTATATTTTTTATTATTATTACTACCTTCTGATAGTTTTTATGATTCAAAAGTACAATTATTGATACTAGTAATTATAAATCGTAGGGATAACTACCAATAATAGTATTTATAACTATCGATAGGTGTACTAACTATCAATAATAGTAAAAACTATCGATAGTTAAGAAACTATTACAGTTTTTTTATTATTAAGAACTACTGATAGTTATTATAGTTCAGCAATACAACTATTAATCGTAGTAACTATCAATAGCGGTAAAAACTATCAATAATAGTAGTAACTATCGATAGTTAAGGAACTATCACTTTTTTTTTTTTTAACTATTATGACCTACTAATAGTTTTTTAAGTACAATAGTACACTTATTTCTAGTGGTAACTATCTTTAATAGTAATAACTATCGAGTGTTAAAAAACTATTTCATTTTTTATTATTATTAACTACTGATAGTTATTATAGTTCATAAATTATCCAACTATAAATAGTAGTACTTAAAATCAATTTAATAATTATTACAATTACCCGTAATAATTATAAAAAAAAATCCTAAATATAAAAATGACTATCCGACAAAAATATCACAAAAAGTGTGATGAAAAACTAGGGCTAAACGGTGCCCAAACAAAAAACTCTATAAATAAACTAAACAGTGATTAAAAAAATACAGTGTATAGTATATATGTATTAACATTAGTATTGAGCATATGATACCACTATATATATAACTCAAGTTTTATTACTATATACTATACATATACTACTATCGGCGTGTAGCGCGTACACACTCCAGGACCAGATGAGTCATGCCCTAATATTAGAAGGTGAGGTCTCATCTTTTTTTCTTTATCTCCCCACTCCCACTCCTCACCCCCTCCCGCAGTTGGACGAATTTTTTCTCGCCCCCCTCCAGCTCGGGTCGTCGTTCCTTCTTTCTTATTCGTATATTTTAATGTGAGCAAACGCTTAAGAATTTAAAACCAACCTCGAGACATTTACTAACCTACAGGTGTACTTACACCTGTTTCACAATTAATTTTTATTTTTACACTTTTCTCCTAATTAATTAATAAACCTTAAATTAAAAATTCCCGCCCGGGAATTTAAATAAAATTATTTAAATTCAAATTTGAAAATTTTCCCGCTCTTTTTTTTTCAGCTCACCTTAATAACGAATAATAATAATAATAATAATTGTAAATATAAGTAATCCTTCGCACACTTGTCACTGACTCATTTGAATAAACACTGCACTAAATAACCGAAAAATTAATTACATAAATTAATTATTAATTATTAATTAACACGGTAAAATTTACTAAGATTTTTTTTTTAAATTGTAATTATTAATGACAATTTATTTATTAATTATCAATAGTCAATAAATATATTAATATTGCTGTCATTAGTATAAATATTTGTCGACTAAACGCGTCGAGTGTCGAACAGTAACTGAGTTTCCGTCGACGAGTATGAGAGAGACCGAGCAGAGCTGCTAACTGCCCGGTAAAATAAGCCAATCAGACTTACGCTATCAGCTGACGGAGAGAGACCGATTATGTTTACTGGTGGGGCTTACAACAAATGTAATTTTAAATTTTGTTGTACCTGTCTTTTTGTTCCCTGACAAATGCATTTTGATAAAAAAATATCTTTTTTATCTTCAGATTAATGGCTACTAGTTGTTGTAATTAACTTTGATTTTTACACAGTAATTATTACTGTTTTAATTTAATAATTATTGACATTAATTATTTACTGTAATTTTTACTATTAATAGTAACAAAAATTTTTTAATTCCATTGATAGTATTATTACTAACTATTATTCACAGTAATAATTACAATTAATTTAAAAATTTATAATTTTGTAATTAATACTATTCATAGTTCAAACTATATTATTAACTCGAATTTTACATTTGTTAATTATGGTGTGCCATTAACTTATCCCCGGAATTTAATACTATGACAATTAATACCTGTAATTTGATCCCACCGACAACTGATTCCTAAAATGGGATCAGTTAACGTGGAACCGTTAATAATTACTGTTTTAACTACTATTCACAGTAATATTTACAATTGCAATAATAAATTATGATTTAATAATTAATACAGTTAATAGTTACAACTGTGGTTTAATAAACTAAAATTTTCAATTTGTTAATGATTACTATTCACAGTAATTACTATTATAACTATTCGAATAATTATTGATAGTAATTGTTCACTATAATTTTGTATTTAATACTATTAATAATTAAAGCTGTGCTATTAATTCGGATTTTACACTTGTTAATAATTACTATTTACAGTAATTACTATAATTACTTTTTCAACTACTATTCACAGTAATATTTACAATTAATTGCAATAATTAATTATAAATTAATACTTAATACAATTAATAGTTACAACTATGTGTTGTAATAAACTAAAATTTTTAGTTTGTTAATAATTACTATTATAACTATTCAAATAATTATTGTCAATAATTTTGATAATTAATTATAAAGTTGTATTTACAACTATTTATAGTTACAACTATTATAATTCACATTGATAGTTAATACTATTATGACTACTATTCACAGTAATATTTACAATTAATTTTTACTGTAAACTATGATTTTATATTTAATACTGTTTATAGTTACAAGTATTAATCGTAATTTTATAATTTCACACAGTAATTATTACTATTTATAGTAACTAATATTCCAACCGTTCTAATAATTATTTAGTAATAATCACAATTACTGTAATTAATTATAATCTATCTAACATTGATCATAGTTACAATTGTGTATTATTAACTCGAATATTACATTTGTTAATAATTACTATTCACTATAATAACTACTATTATTTTAATTTCAATATTGGCATCAATTATTAAAGTTAACTATAATATTGTATTAAAACTATATATAGTTACAATTATATATTAAAATTAATATTTATTAGTTGATAACTACTCATAATTACTAAAATTATTACTGTTCCAAAATTGAAGATAATGATTACATTAACTATGAAATAAAAATTAATAATTAATAATGACTGATACTAATTATTCATAGCGAAAAATACCATAGCATTAATAATAAAAATTGTATTTAAAAATTACTTATAATCTTAAAATTGTTAATAATTAAAATTTATACTAACTATGCTCCAATTAATATTGACAGTAATAATTACAATTATTAAATTAAACTATAAAATAAAAATTGTCACTATTAATAGTTAAAATTATTAATTAAAATAATAATTATTAATTATTAAAAGTAATTATTAATTATTATTATTAAATAATAATTATTAATTTACAAAATGACTCATAGTAATAGAAAAAAATTTAACTATTACACATTATTACAACAATTTACCCCAACTTGTAATAATTGTAACTATTAAAAAAAAAAAAATTAAAACTTTAAAAAATAATCACTATAAAAAAAAACATGGAAAAAATTTCCACTTACTTAAAACAAAAGAAAATAACAATTAGCAATAACAATTAATTAAAAAACATAAAATGAACACTCATTGACAGTAATAATGTCTCATTTTAAACTATACCAGTTAATTTTTATTCTTGTATGACGTTTTTAAAATTAAAGATGTGTAAAATATGTGAACGGCGCGTGGACTGTTTTGCAAATGTGTTGGTTGCGGATGGTTTTAAATGATGCGCGCGCATAACGTTCAATGTGTATATTTACCTTCTACATACGCAAACAAACATATAAAATGATTTAAAACGGCTGATGAGTCATACCCACGTCGTTTTACGTTTGTTATCTTACTCGCTGCGTTTTTATCTCTCTTTATTTCTTGGCGCACTTTTCAGTTTTTATCATTATTATTATCATCGTCAATTACACATACTAGATAATGCTCAGTACATGCAGGTCGATCAGTATACACAAGTACTTGTGTACTTATGTTTACATTATCTATTATTATTTTCTTCTTACAATTAGTTCTACGACTTATTTTTTTACTACCAGTCTAATAGTTGTCATCCATTTCTGATGCTTTTCACCTACTAGAACTTTATCTTAGATTTAAATATTTTTTGCAAGGAACTAAAAGAGATATTTTGAAAAATTTTGGTGGAAAATTGTAGAGGAAGGTTTGAAGAATATTTTGAGACAAAGAAGAAAATTTTAGGAGCATTAGATCAAAAGTTTTGATAATTTTTAAATTAATAAAGAAGAAATAACAAATTTGATCATTTGTAATTTTTGGGCAATTTAAAAAATTTTTTTTTTGTAGGAAATAAAAAATATATTTTGAAATTTTTTAGTAGAAAATTGTAGAGGAAGAGTTGACGAAAATTTTGAGACCAAAAAAAAATTTTTAGGAGCATTAGATCAAAAGTTATGATAATTATAAAATTAATAAAGAAGAAATCAAATTTTTGATTAGGAATTTTTGGGGTAAGAATTTTTTTTTTTATTTTGGAAAATTTAGTGAAGAAAATTGTAGAAGAAGATTTGGAGAAAATATTGAGACCAAGAAGAAATTTTTAGGAGCAATATAATTAAAAGTTATAATAATTGTAAAATTAATAAAGAAGAAATGAAAAATTTGTAATTTTTGGGTAATTTAAAAATTTTTTTTGTGAGGAATTAGAGGAGATATTTTGAAATTTTTGCATAGAAAAATGTAGAGGGAGGCCTTGAGAATATTTTAAGACCAAAAAACAATTTTTAAGAGCATTAGTTCAAAATTTATGGTCATTTTTAACTTAATGAAGAAGAAATAACAAATTTGATCATTTTTTAATTTTGGGCAACTTTACAAATTTTTTTGTAAGCAATTAGAAGAGATATTTTGGAAATTGGACATGGAAAATTGTAGAAGAAGATTTGAGGAAAATTTTGAGACCAAAAAGAAATTTTTAGGAGCATTAGATCAAAATTTATGATAATTTTAAAAAATATCATAAAGAAGAAATAAAAAATTTTATTATTGATCAATTTTAGGCAACTTAAAATTTTTTTTTGTAAGGAATTAGGAGAGATATTTTGAAGTTTTTGGGTTAAAATTGTAGAGGGAGGTTTGAAGAAAATTTTGAGACTAAGAAAAAATTTTTTGGAGCAATAGATCAAAAATTAATTATGATAATTTAAAAATTATTATAAAGAAGAAAATTTTTGAATGACTAATTTGTAATTCCAATTAAAAAACAATTTTCTATGACTAACAAGGGTATTTAGTATTAAGATAAAAGAAAAACAAAAAGATATCGAATTGACAATAATAAGAAATCAAGGCGTGAAATATTAATTTAAAAATCTATATAAAGTTAAGTACTGAGACAATAAACAACATTATATAATTAATATGTACGATATCAAGAACAAGATGTTTACGCAGATTAAAGTTTAATAAAATATGTGTATATAAGATTGGGATAACGTAAAAATATGAAAAATATAAAAACCTTGGCGTGATAATTGATAAAAAAAGTGTGTATTGTGATATGACGTCACTTGTATTAAGAAGCGATGAGTTAGATTCTAGTCTTTATATTTTTGTTTTTTTTAATGCAGTTCATTTTTTTTTCTAAGTATATGTTTATAAATAAATTTAAATTTAAGTAGTCGAACTGGTGCATGTGGGAAGAATTTTTAGACACTAGAAAGTCGCCTGAGGCATATTTTAAAGTTAAAAGCTAGATATTTAAATTTTTTGTTTTAATTTTAGATTACACATTTTACGTGCTTAACATAATTAACATATTTAAAAAAAAATTTTTTTTTTCTACCAAAATTTAAATATAAAAATAAGAAATAAACTTACCTTTAAATCGTTGAAAATTAAGACGCTTAATTCGTGGAATTGTTGGACAATTTCTGGTTAACGAGGGCATGCTATCTTTTATATTATTATTGTGGTTATCTTGTCCGATAGTCAGCAATAAATTTGGTGTGTCAATTTCAAAATCCGCGGATCGTTTTACACCGGATTTAATAACTTCCAGATTAACTACTTTGCACTTGTTTATTCCACCTTTAAAAAAAAAACAATATTTAGTAATTATTTCTTCATTAAAAATTGCAACAATTTTAAGTAATAAAATAAATAAATAAATGTGAAACTTACCACTGACATCACTGGAAGAAATAATCGGCGACCGCGGGCTCAATGAAGACTGAGCGTCTGATGGTCTCGCTGCTGATATTTTAGCGCTCATGTTTTTTTATAAATATATACCTATATATGAATGTATGGGTATATGCGGTTGTCACCGTATTAAAAAATAAACAAGTTGACCGTATGTAAAATCCACGAATAAGACGTGACTCATGAATTTTTGCAGAGGTCACCGGAATTTCTTCTAAGAGTCTGAAAAAAAAAAATTAGAAATTAATTTTTAAATAATCTAAAAAAATCTATATTATTCAGAGACATAATTAAGAAATGACCTTGTATCTTGTGAAATATTGACATTTTTAAAGATATAAGCTCATCCTGATGTTATATTCATCGAGACCTTTCATTTGAGTACCCACATCAATTTTTCATATATTTATATATATTATATATATGTATATATGAAAAATATATGAAAATGCGTGTGGGTACTCAAATGAAAGCTTTTGATAAGTGTAACATCAAGATGAGCTTATATCTTAAAAAATGTCAATATTTTACAAGATACAAGGTCATTTCTTAGTTATTAACATTTTTTAAGATATAAACTTATTTTAATGTTACACTCATCGAGACCTTTTATATAAATATATATGAATATATGAAAAATTGATGTGGGTACTCAAATGAAAGGTCTCGATGAGTGTAACATCAAGATGAGCTTATATCTTTAAAAACTCCAATATTTAAGAAATTACAGTGCAATTTAACAAAAGTTATTATTCAATGAAGCAAAATTTTATTTATTTATAGTTCACAAATCACAGCAGTCACGTAGTGACTGCATGGTTGCTAATTATTATTAGTTTGACTTTAAAAATTTTCCTAAATAATAATAATAATAAAATTTTTAGAAGGTTTGTTATTATTATTAATAAAAATTAATAACAAATAACAAATTGATAAGTGTTGATTATTAACAAATTTTTTTTAAATTATTTAAAAATTTATTTCTAATAATAATAATGACAATAATAATAATAATTGTAAGCACATTGACCGTTGAGTCATACAAGAGTAGACAAAGTAAGATCACAATGGACCTTGAGTGAGTAGGGAGCAGGAACTGATTGCAACCAAGGTAAGCGACAATGTTTTTTTCTTTTTACACTTTATTATTATTATTAAAAACATTTTGGTTTAAATTTACATTCGCAACCTCAAGGTGAATTTTAGTTAGAATTTATTTAAAAAAATCCCAATTTACCGTATAATAAAAATTAATGAAAAAATTAAACCCGCCTGGGAATCGAACCCAGGTCACAAAATTTAATAAAAAATAGACACTGCGCTAAATCAATTTATGACTGCAGGTATTCAAATATATCTACTATTCATAGATATACAGATATATAGATATATATAATAAGCAGCAAATAGTATCGTGACCCAGCCTTGCAACCCTCTTATACCACCCTCTAAATAGGCTGCACATAAATACCTACACCTATTGCAACTATCGATCTTTCTATACTCTCTTATACTAAATCTATATTATTCTTATTTTAGATTCCTCAATATTTAATATAGATACTCTTTTTCTACCAAGAACTCTATTTTGGTGAACGGACTAATCTAAGGGAGGAAAAACGATGACTCAAAAGAAAAATTATTAATCAATAAATAAATTTTCTGTCATCGATTTCAAAAATTCCCTCTAAAATAAATAAATTAATTAGTAAATTATTAAAAAAAAAATATTGTTACCTGACTAGAGTTTTATAAAATAAATGAAGGTAAAATTAGAACTTATAAATAAAAAATGGTTTTAAACGAGGCACTGAGGTCCGTGGTTGCGCGAGTACTGTGGTAACTTTTATGATTACAATTGGAGGGTAGTATCTGTTATACTCAACAATATAGATCTTATATATGTAATATTGCGTCGACTCTGTAACGTGTCCTAGGCAACTATTATCGCAAGCGCATTGACGTTTAATATTTATAATATTTTTTTTTTTACAAAAAAAAAATAAATTAACCCTTTAAATTGATTACAAAAAAAAATTTGAAATTTTTATAATAAAAAAAAAAAAAAAAAAAAAAAAAAATTTCTTACCAAAAAGTTTAAAATAAATTAAAAAAAATTAAGAATAAAATTTATAAAAAAATAAAATTTAAATAAAAAAATTATCCACGTGTTCTGCGATATCGTTCCAAAAGATCGATACTACAAATATCAAAACGCTTGCGCGTGATTGAGAGTGAACCTCGTGCTGGACCAAATCCAGCCTCTGGAAATTTATTCCTCAGTTATTAACCATGGGGACTAGATCAGCTGCTTGTAAGTATATTTTAAAAAAATTAATAATTAATAATTGAAGTGCCTTAATGGCTATGTAACAGGATTACTTGGCAAATTAGTAACTAAATGGTGTTAAGTATATGTACTTGTTATAATAATAATTACTTTGTTTTTAATAATTACTATTATTATCTTGGATTGCAATTGCAAATAGTCTTTTCATTCAGCAATTTAATTATTAAATTATTAAGTCATCTTGTTATACATTATAAAATTATTGTATACTAACAATTGTAATTATTAACCCTGTTAATGGCCTGAGCTGTTGAGTTTGTTTACTTAAAAAATAAATAAATAAATATCAATTTTTATTTACAGATACGCTAAAGCTTACGAGCTTGCATGATTATTACCAGCGACTACTTCATGGAACTCAGCCGATTCCGTCCGGACAGGACATGGCTAATACCCTAAAATATTTCTCCCAGGCCCTCTTATGTAACTAAAATACTTATATAAAATTTTTAAAGGTTAGTTAGAAATTTTCCATACTTACCTAACCTTGCTTTAAGCTTTGCTGAAAGAAGTCCGCGAGATGCCGCTGGAGATGATTAAATCCCAAGAATTGGATCCTGAAAGGATGGTTCTTTATCCAAGCCTGGATTATAAACAACTTTACAATGCGCTGACCCAGATTTTGGACGTTGTTTCTTACGTACATATTGGATTAGCAGGTTAGTTTTTTTCTTCAGAAAAAAACCGGGAAAAAATTGTCTAGTTAGTTAAAAATAATTAAAATTAATCTTGAGGATTTGGACAATAAGTGAAGATAAATTACAAAATTTGCAACGCAAAAAACAAAAATTGCAATAGTTACTCTTATGGTTAACATCCTCGTCTAGTTTTTACTAGACTATTAATTAGAATATTTAATTCCAGCATTCGGACATGCTTTACTTCAATGTCTAGCCTGTTTGATGCCCTTTCTCGAGCATGATTTGTTGGACAATCTTCCTTACCTAACGGCTTCTTCAATTTCTGTTTTACCGGTCGAGCTTCACCAGGAAATTGTTAACCATTTGTGTTTTTACATTCTTCCCTTTACAATTAGTAAGTTAAAATAATAAAAAATTACTTGTCTTTTTTTCATTTCATTTTTAGTATTGAAATATTACTAAAAATAATTATTATATTAAATTAGCAAGGAAGACACTTGACGAAACAGAAAACTATGCAAGCCAATCCATATCTGCGGTAATAATGATGGTGTTTCAATACTCAAGTAATCCAGCGCACCATTGTCAGCTTCTAGAATGTTTAATGTCCTTAAAATCGGGAGTAGTCAAGGATCTTCTGTGTGTAGTTGCCTACGGAACCGCTCCCGCAAGAGCTTCAGCTGCTAAACTTCTATTTTATTATTGGCCCACTTTTAATCAAAATCTGTTTGACCGACGGGCGGTATTAATGAAATTTGCCAGTAATTTTCTTGAATTTTCCTTAAAACAACCTTAAAAAGTCGCTAAATATAAATAAAATAAAAATTACAGACGACCTGGCGCCATTTGTTTGCAAAAGAGACTCTTGCCCTAACGCCGGTAATGCAGAGGCGGGAAAAGTCTGCTATGACCACAGAATCTCAATAAAGTTCGCAGCTGAATTACCGGCGCCGCTTTACTTATGCATAGAATGCGCGAATGAGATCCACCGCGAACATCCCAATCAGATGTTTTACGACATCCTGCATCCCATGCAGCAAGTTTCGATGGTTTGCGAGAACAAAGTGAGCATTGAATCATAATTCCAACCTGAAACTCTCTCTAAAAACAATTTCTAACTCTAGAACTGTCGAGCAACGGACAAGTCCGCCATTAGCGTCTGCTTCTCAATAGAGTGCGCTAGTTACAACGGAAACCACCCAATCCGTTACTGTCAACAGTGCCACAATATTAGGCACAACAACCGTCGGGGTGGCGACCATATTTACCACATGGCTCTGCCTCATGTGTCGCAAATGGACCCGCAAACTCAGACATACTTGGTCCAATCAATCGTCAGGTAGTCTTCTTAACTGTTATATTCCTTACAATAAAACACATACAATTAACACACTTAGATTTATAACAAAATGGCTTCTAAGGCCTAATGCAGGTTTACAAGTTTTTAAAGCAGCTAATTTACAATTGGTAAGACAAAATTATCTGAAGAAAGCTCTATTAAATCACTAATTTAACCTATTTCTTACAAACTATTTAAATCTAATGCATGATCTAAAATTACGCACTAAGGTACACTATTAGACACTTAGTCTATCTTCTAAGTGTCGATCTACTATCTAAATTCACTAGATTTGCTAGATAGTTGCATGGTATCGCCATTTCAAGATTTAAACTACCGACAAAATGGCCGACCTGTGCCAAGTAGCATTAAGGCAGCCATTTTGTCGACTCTACTACTCTTTAGGGTGATTATACCAAAAACTATCTGTCTAACCTATAAATCTCTAGTTTTTTAACCGATAACGTCTATTTTTACCCAAAAGCAGACGTTATCTACCTAACTACTTAAAAATAACCCTAAAAATGGTTTATAGCTTGCTCAAGGAGGCAGAACCGCTAAGTATGGATAGTAATCGTGACAACACGGAAATAAATACTAATAAAGGAGGAATAGGCTTCTCAGGCGGAGTTTCAATGGGTGGAAGCGGTGCCGGGGGTTATGGATCCGGAAGACCTGGTTTGTTTGACCCGTCAACTCTTGAAGAACGCCAGCTTCTAGGTCGGTACGGCGTCTGGCTCCTGGTTGGGCTTTGCACACCCAAAGAAGACACCCCCGTCGAAATTCTCGGGCGTTTATTGTCAATGCTATTTCATTGGTTTCATGTCACTGCGTACTCATTCGATGGTACTAAAAAAAGTCTTATGCACCTTATCTTTTCTGTTGGTAATTTACAAACTTTGCATACACTACTATGACGTAGAAACTTAGAACAGATATACTTAATTATAACTAATAACAAAAGTTACTTATAATTAACATTTGTAGTGGTAGCGTCGATCGTAGGCACACTTCGGTTTATTATTATCAGTTTTTTCGTGTTCTGTGTCTTCTATGTTTGTCTATATGTTTGTTGTATGTTTAATTTGCAACAACGGAGTGCGTCTGCGAGTTGGCATAGTTCCGAAGCATGACCCTTCCTTGATATTCTTCTCTGAAACCTAACTAATAGCTATGTTCTTCTTTAGGCCAAGCCGAAAGTACTCTGGAGAAACTTAAGACAGAGTACGTGTGTGGTTGGCTTTCGGACATCATGAAGACTCATTACACTGTCTTCATTTCGTGTTTGCTGCCCCATCCAGCTGATTACGTTCGCGTTGGCGGCCATTGGTATGCAATTAGTTCCAAAAACTTAACTTAACATTAATCAGCTTAAACTAATTAAAATTATTAAATAGGGAAACATTGGCATCAAGAACATCTCACTTGAAAGACGGCCTTAATAGGCTTTTCTGTTTGGTTCCTTATGAGGTAATAACTCCCGAAGTTTGGGACTACGTGATGCCCCATTGGATGGAAGCGATGGTAAATGACGTTCCGGAGAACGAATTGCACGAGCTTAAGATAATCCTCTGTAAAATCCTGGACCCCGAAATGAGTCCTTTGGGTTTCAACGCGAAAAAGATGTACAATTTTGTCGCTAAAAGATTTTGCAACACAACCGCTAAAGTGCAAGAGCAAGCTCTTAATTGGCTTCAAACTTTAACAATGTTGGAGATCACAATTCCCTTGACGCAGCTCTTTGCGATGTTCAGCGACGGAGTAGCGGTTATGGGCAAGACCAACAGCGCCGAGTTTGACGAAAAGGCGTATAAAGCCAAGAACACAGAAGAAACCGAGAGCGCCATCTGCCCTGTAGTGGAAAACGACTCCGGGCAGTCGTCTCCGCTGTCAGATGACATGATACCGACTCCAAGACACATGGAGTTCACGACCAACGCCGAATTGAACCTTTCTTGCTGCATTCTTATGCTAGACATCATTTTGAAACAAGTACTCGTCTTTTGGGCGCCATTTGCTTTAGTTACACTACTACTTGAATTTCTTTACAGATGGAGCTGCAGGACATCGACAAACACACAGGTCTGAATACCTGGGTCTGCAGAGACGCATGTCAGCTGATGAAATGCATCGTTGCGGCCAATTGGAACGACTGCCATGTCTGTAAAACAGACCAAGAATGCACTTACTGCGAATCTAGGATAATCTGGCACCAGCTGTGCTTCAAATTAGTCATCTATTTGTGTCCCGAAAATCCAGCAAATCCTCCGGATGTCTACATTGATGAATCTGCTGATGATCATGGAAGGAAAAGCCCTCCAGAATCTTCCAAAAAGTCCGACTCTAAGCCAGATGTCGTTATAAACATGCCAATGCCAGAGTCGCACTCTGTAGGTGGTGTTCTAGTTCACATGCCTCACGTAAGTAGTCTTCTGATCTTCAGTAATAACAATTTTGATTCTACTAAATAATGTTTTCTATGTATTTAAAATATGAGAAGGCTTACTGTGTCAGCGTGTTGAATCCGTGTTGTTTCCTTGTATTTTCTTATCTTTTATATAATCCTTTACCAAGAACGTACCAGGGTACGGTAGGGTGTCCATCATGTATGTATTTCTCTACGTGTTGCCTTACTGTCGCTTTATTTTGGATGTTTTAATATAGTTCTTCGAACAGATTATGACTGCCACTGTAGAGACTGTTTCGGAGCAACTGGATTTAGCAGCCATCTTGCCGGCGGAGAAGGTTATGTCCGCTGTAGCGCGAGCTGTTACTTTATCCGAAAGCGACGTCGGTAAGTTAAATACCTTCATCTTCAACATAAAACTTGTAGGAACTGATAAAAACCTTCTTTATCAGCAACAGCGACGGTCAACATCGACAAGCCGAATATAATCGGCGAAAACGACGAACCGTTGACTCAGAGTCCTGAAAATGACGCTGACGATTTCTGGCACACTACCGTCGGAAAGTTCCGTTTTAACTTAGAAGATCTGCCCGAGCCGCTTCAGTATATCCACAAGTTACTAAAAGAAATAATGACTGTCGACAAGCCGGACATTTTGTATTATATGTTACAATGTCTGAACATACTATGTCTGCACGGCGACGCTCTTACTTCAGCAGTAAAAGACCACCAAGGTTTCTTCATCTGGTCCCAAGAGAACTTGCTGATTAAAAAGTACTTAACCTTTACTATTTTCTAACTTCAGGCAATTATTAATGAAAATTTTACAGTCTTTGGGAATTGCTGAATGCAGAGCACTCACACATCGCCCAAGTAACAGTCCCTCTTTTGCTGCATTGCATAACCTTACCCTGCGGAACTGACACCTTCTGGCGGCTAGTTCAGGAAGAGTTCCACAATTCGGATTGGCGGGTTAGATTCGTCGCCGTTGAACGAGTAACATTAATCGCGAGATTCATGGATTCTACACCGTTGAAGAACGTATTGTCACTGCAAGCCGCGTTGGCGAATGCATTCTGCTACTTGATCAGCAGTATGGACGACGGCAATGTCTACGTCGCACAAAGAGCAACGCTGAATCTAGGAACTGTCCACGACGCTGCAGTCCGGGTGAGTCCTTCACCAAAATCCACCTAAACATCCGCTAACACAATCTGATTTCAGTCGTTGATCATGTGTTTGGAGACTCAGTTTGATTCGGTGATCGTCGACCGGCCAATGGTGCTCCAATCACTGTACCAGGTCCACAACAGCCTTAGCGACCGCAGGATCTTGACTTGGGAGTTCTTCTTGAACAGATTCGACGCATTGTTCCTGGAAGCGCAGATTAGCCTCGAGAAAGTTGGAGACATAACTTGTCTAAGAGACTTAAGAAACACAGACATGACCAGCGAGGCGTTTATGAAGAAGCTTAACCGCGCTCAGGAAGCTCTTTCTCAGTCAGATGGAAGCGGAACTTCTTCTGTGAAGACACTGAGCGCTAGTTTTGGAACCAAGTGGCCTTACAAACGCACAATGTCCGCTCCAGCTTCGATGATCCCTCGACAGGACACCAAACAAGGTATTTTCCAAAGGAATAGGATAATTAGATGATTTTTTGTGAGTGACTGGTTGGTTTTCCAGAAAAAGAAAAAGTTTACAGCCGACAATACTCAGCGCCAATTTTAAAACGGAAAAGCTCGAGATTTGGACTGGGTCAGTTGTTAGGATCATCTCAAACTAATAACAGTTTACCAGGTAGTGTAGTGAATGTTATTGCTTGCGTAGTTCCCGATAATCAGTGTGCCTTTGTCGTTACATATTCATTAACACAACAGATGGGGTAAGTAGGCATCTTAACAGTTCCACTAATCTCTTTGAATTTGTTTTCATCGCATGCTTCCCAGCGAATGATGTTCTGTAGAGTCTAGCTGCTACAAGTCAACTGATTTATAATTACTCTAATTAATCCCTCACAGATGGCCACGTTCATTCGCTGAATATGATAGAAGACACCAGCAACTTGCCAGGATTGACCTGCAAGATCGTCGAGTTAGAAGAAGCTGACAAGGAGACTATGCACTTGTTGGTCTTCCTTTTCATGCAATTTTTGTCCAGGCAGGATCAGGCCTACCCTACCGACGAAAAGACACTCTCGAAAACCCAGGGGATAGTCCTGAGGCATTTGTACCTTCTGCTGGGCTACAACCAGACTGAGAGGACCTTCCATCTCCAGCCTCAGCGCCAGAGGATATCTTCAGTGTTCAACGTCTTCATATCTAACTTGTCCCAGCTTCTGGATCAGAACCACGTGATGGGCTGGGTGATGATCCCACCAGTACTGGCCATTCTTTTGTACTGCCCATGCCCACCCCAAAGGCTTCCACTTACGGACCATCAGCCGCCTACTTACAGTCTCTGGTTCCTGGAACCTAACATCAGGCGCTCTTGGCTTATGTCTGTTCTTGTCATTCTTTACAAGGTAAGCTACCCATATAACAATCTTTTACAAGGCTTAAGCGAGATTGCTCTAAAGTTCGATAGTTGCTAGCGTAAAATTATACCTATGGCTCTTGCTACAGAAATAAATGATTAAATAGCATCATTTTTATGCGTATACCTAAATATAAAGATTTATTGCACATACTAATACTGTAGTAACAGTTTTTTACATTAGATTCAAAGGAGAGTAAACCACCAAAGTAATCTAACTCAATACCATGATTATTAACTAATTTGGCAATCCTGTTTATTGGTCCATAACATACGTAGTTCTTTGTTGGTTTTATTGAATACAGCAGCCTTTGGAATCTTAGATCTGATCTTGAGCAGACGAATCTGAACTGTTCCAATATTTCAGGGGAAATGATACATCCATTACTTGTTTTGTAAAAGTGGATTAAGTTAGCACACTGTCTTGCTACAGATTTAAACTATCTGCAACAGAATCTTGCTCAAACACGTGTTTCTTGGGTAGGAGAAAAAATAATAGTTTTTTTAAATTGAATCAATGATTACCGGTCATCAAAGCTTTATATAGTCTACCCCGTAACGTAGAATCGTAATCAATTATTCTGTATGACTTCAACCCTGATTGTACAGCGCTGTCAATCAAAATCTGTATGTTTTTATCAGCTGAATCTTCATTGAAATTCCAGGTATTAAATAAGTTATTTGATAACATACGTATTGAATTAAACATCAAAATCTCTGAATTAAATGTAGTTTTATCGAAGGCATGGAAATTTGGAAGTACTTTAGATATAAATTCATGACACATGTTCCGTGTATTATCGTAGGTACTATCAGCAATGTATTCAAACAAAATTGGCAGAATTGCAATATTATTAATCAATGTAGGGAGATTAAAAAGTTTTGTTCTCGTCGGATCATAGTCCTTTAACTTATTTCCAAAAATTATCTTGACTAGTCTTTCAGCAGTATCCAAATGTTTCTTTTCATTATGACGGACATAATACGCCAATAGATCAACAGCTGCTTCATTTAAAGTGTAGAGTAAACCATCTTCCAGATTACACGGTTTACCCTCGGTACAAACACTGTGGATCACTTGAAGGTCAGTTGTTTTAGGATCAGTAGCTAGAGAGACTGTCGAAGAATAGGTCTTAATATCGAAAGTGGTAATTTTCCATTTAGCAAACTCTTTTATTACTGTATTAACTGCCATCAGCCTTTGGTTTTTCAAACTGTTTTCTGAGGAAGTCTCAGTTCCAGGTAGAGAACTTACTAGGGGAATATCATCGTCTAAAGGTTCATTAGTTTCGCCAAAAGATCTGCGAAAAGCGAAATACAAGCCTACTGCTACAATACCAGTTACTGCAGTTATACTAATGATACGTATTTTATCCATTAAGAATCTTTAAAGGTGTTTCAAATTGTAAATTTACTTCTAATAATTATCTTACTATTTAAGACAATTCATCAGTTTTGATAAATTATTGCTGTCATGTAGAAGAATTGTATTTGTCGCTATTAACACTTTTGATAATGTAAATTCATCGATGATAAGTTAACGTTTGAATGCTTGATTACAATTAGTGAGTCACTGATAACTTTCTCTATTGTCTTATGAAGTAACAAGTTAAAAAAATTAATGTTTTCTTTAAATCGAATCTTATTAAAATCATATTTTTATTAGAGGCAAATATATTTCATATCGAAATTTCACCTCACCCTGTTTCATGGTAGAACTCACATCTTTAATCTGTTTATTAAATTCTATCATCTCAGGATCGTTTGATTCCTGGTTAAAAAGCTCTTTTCTATACAAATAATTCGTCATCATACGCAATGTATTAGTGTAGAAATCAAATTGCTGGAAATAAGTGGAATATTTCCCACGGTTTTTTAGTTTGGGTACTAATTTAAGTATAAATTCATCACACAGCTGCTTTGTATCATCATACTCGCTCTTATCAGCAACATATTCAAACATAATGCAGAACAACCCGATGCTGCATACTAAGTCATCAAAATTATCTGAATAATTTTTTAAATTAAAGCCTTTTAATTTTTCATCTAAAACCAATTTAACTATATCGTTCCCCCATTTTAGATATTTCGGTTTATTGGGTTCGTTTACATAATCTTTCAGGTAATGACAGCCAACATCACACAAGTCGGTGATTTGCATATTATTATCTGGATAAGTAAAACGATTATATATTGTACTAATAGTTGTATCCAATTCTTGGACATCTTTCGCATTACGAACTTCAGGGTGCAATTTCCATATTCCATTAGAATCAAATTTCGATATTACATTTCTAACCTCACTAATTACTTTTTTCTTATTATCCTCTTCAGGATCTTTAACATTTCCAACGGGATTATCACTTTTAACTTACAACAGCACAAATAATGTAATAATAAAAAAGTTAATACTTACAGTATGAATACGGCCAGCAGCCATGGTGTACTCAATTGCAGTCGCTAATAAAGATAATCCTAAACACCCTGGACTCTCAGCACCACCAATGCAAGCGAATACCCGCTACAGTAGTAATGCCCGGCCCGCCATCTCGATCAAGAGACGTATCCCAGCCATCTCTCGGCGCGGACCACGAACTAATCGGCGTAGTGGGGGAAATGGACACAGATAGCCCGCCAATGCGCACCCAGATGGTGTCAATCCACTCCCGCAGCCCAGGAGTTTCTTCCCAAGCCATGGAAACTCACTGGGAAGAACAGGCTCCGGATTATTACATTAAACACCCAAGGTTACTTTAAACTCCTCTATCTAGGCTTTAGATTTGTTTTATTTTTATTATTTTGCTTTTGCTTTGTAACATTCGCTACGCTACCATAGCCATTCATTCGCGGACGATCTGGAGTCCGAATTAGCAGCAATTCCTGAAAGCCCCAATTCCGATACGACTTTGCACAGCAGTGCTGGATCCCTCGGAGAATTGGAGGACAGCTCAGCTCTGGCGAGCCGTAGCGCCTCAATGATGATGATGATGACCAGGACTTCCATTCCCGGAGGGTTCCTATCAAGGTCCGTTGTTCCACATGACATTCCTGAGCATCCCAAGGCCGAAACCAGTCGGCCCACTTGGTTCCTTGGCAATGAAGAAGATTCTCAGGTAAGTTTGGACACTTTTAGCAGATTTCTTGGACGTTGGTGTTGATTTTCTATGTTTAGGCTAGTGGCAAGAAGTGGGGGATTCAGGAAGGCGTCAAGATGATGGTGGCCAGCAGTATGATGTCCAGGCATGAATCCCAGAGGGTTCCAGTGACCAAAGCTGCTAGCTTGACGGAAAAGAGCCATGATTTCGATAAGAACAAAGCTACAGCTTTGGCTATCACGACCTCTAACTTTCCTCGGTAAAAATGAGTATTTAACTTGAAATTATAAATATTCTAACAGAAAACTTGTTCCAGAATTGAGCAGTCTCCAAAAGACAAAAGCCCGATCCTGAGTATTCGCACAGACCCTCCAGAATCTCCAGTTCCAAAGCACTTGGGCCGCCAAAAGAACGTAGATTACACACCGCCGCTTTCTTTAGCGTCGCCACTGTCTCCGAACCAACTGGCGCCCAGCGACGATTCAAGTTCACCCGCAGTCAGTTCAATATCATCTTCCCAAGTCACCAGTACGGACAACGGGCATCAACTATGGACAGGTCCTGCGTTGGTAACTCCAACAGTAGAACGACTCCTTCCAATAGGAAACCCCGGAATGCGTTCAGCAATCGCAAGATCAGCCCACAGGTTAATCCGCGACGACACTTTCGGCTCTCCCGAGTCTCCTTTGTCCAAAATGGACGTCCTAACCGTCAGCTCTTCATTCGAGCAAGACAGCGAGACGGGAGCTTCCAGCGACGTTACTAGTCCCAGAAGTATGTCTCAGCTGGAGTTTCCTATGCCAGAGCGGCTTTTGCCAATTGGCGGGATTCAAGGACAGTGCATTTCTGGTCTAGTTGAACGAGTCCGTCAGGCTCTAGGCGTTCCAGAGGACGACCAGCTTCCACTGAGTCTCGCTACTGATCCAGACCGCTCGCCACAGAAGCAAGACAGCACAACGTCAGAGTGTCTCTCCAGCGCAGCTTTGATTCCAATCAATGACCCGCCAAGCCGGTGTGCTAGTCCTCGACGACTCATCAAGCAAGTGGCTCTGGAGTCGCCTCCTCCCGTCGAAACTGACAATTTCAGCTTCCATACCTTCGAGCACGAGCGACGGCACAAGTTTAATGACTACACTCGAACTCGCGATCGAAATCGCCGGGCTTATATCGGGTCTAATCATCACCATGCCCTAGGTCAGAGACGCATGGACTCCTGGACTCCAAACCAGAGCTCCAGTATGGATCCTGCAGCTCTTCAAGCTTGCCATGCTGACTTCAATCTTAGACAAAGTTCGTTTAGAATTGGAGACGAGTGCATCTATGATCGCTGCTCAGAATGCGGGACTATCAAAGAAGAGTACTCTGATGAAGAACTAGGACTCTGTATTATCACCCTGGGAACTTTTATCCACCGCGAACCGGCTCTAGCTGCTCCAATGCTTCCGGAAATCCTGACCATTGTTACCAAGTAAGTAACTTTATCATTAAATCACTGAAGATTTGTAGCTTTATCATATTTGGTTTTAGAGTTGCATTAAATGCGATGTACTCGTGGCAAAACGAGACAAACATGCACCTACCAGGTGGAGCTATCAGCGTAGCTCACCAGTTCCTCCGTTGTGTCTTGCACCAATTGGCGCCCAACGGGATCTTTGTCCAAATGTTTCAGACGCATATCAATGGTAAGCAATTTTTCTTCTTAGATAACTTAATCTAACTTCTCTTTTCCACCAGAAAACACCCGAAAGCAATTTTTCAAGAGCGTAACTCAAGCTCTGGTAGACTTCAACGAACTGAACCCAATTGCACCGATCCAGTTGTTATTAGAAACTTTAAACAACAAGAAATCGCTGCCAGTTGACAACTTGCCGACAATTCTCCACAATATCGCCTGCTATCTAGACTGCCTTCCCTTGGAAGCAGGTTTAGGCCCCGGAGCTACGACCTGGGGTGGCCTATTGGCTCAGTTCGAGTCATTCTTCCGTCGACTAATCCTCCTGCTTCCCTCTATAGAAGATACAACCTCCCTTTTGCGGATAATGATATCAATCCTCAAAGTTCCGGGTATCCAGCAGACAAAGAGCATCCTGGAGCCGTTCTCCAAGGTCTTGAGCTACTCCATCCAGCACTGTCACCTCAAGTACTCGTACCTGACAGACCTGTGCCACCTCTGCAACAGAGGCTACCTCAGGGAACGCGACAAGCACTTCTTAGGCCGGACAATTGTATTCGAGCTCGTCCAGGCGATGAAATTTAAAACTAACATCCCGGACAACAATTTCTTGCTGTTGTTGCAATTCGTGCTTCAAGATGTCGGTGGTACTCTTCCTTCGACGGTTAATATTGAGAAGAGCATCAACGGAGAAGTTTCTTCGCAGGTTTACAACACTAATTCTACTGAAACTTTGAGGAACCAAATGACAGACATCATTGACTTCCTCGCTGACGTCCATTCGCTGAGCAAAATCAAAGTAAGTACCCATTAACCTCTTCAGAATTATTTCTAATTGTTTTTTCTTCTTTCAGAGTTATAATAAAGGCTTGCAAGCCGGGTTGAATGAAGATACTCTAGGCGGAACGTTGAAGTGTGGATTCGCCCAGTATCTAGCTCTAGAAATCACCAGAGGGAACAACAGGGAGAACAAAGCTGTTGGTCGCTACCTCCCATGGCTGTACAGCGCGCCATCTATGGTTCCTCAGGGGTAAGTACTCAGGTTATCAAATATTTTCATTAAATTGATATCAATTTGCATCTTTTAGAGCGCGCGAGTACGTAGAGTGCATAGGCCACATCAGATTACTGTCCTGGATCCTTCTTGGTTCTTTAACACACACGGCGATGAATGCCGGAAACCATACGCACACTCACGGACCGCCGATTCCTGTCGCACAACCTATTCCTCAAGAAGTGTCATGTCACGTGGCGGATCATGTGCAGGTTATCTTTTCAGGGTTCCCGGAACAATCTAAGGCTTCGGTTCTTCATATGTCTTCTTTGTTCCATGCTTTCATTTTGTGTCAGGTATGCCATAAGCCAGGAAGTTTGCGTTTTTCTTTATTCAAATTTGAGGTTAAACATATGAATGCTCATTTAAACAACTGCGAAAATCAAGGACTTAGTAACAACATTACTAATTTATTTATTTTATAACAAACACTAAACCCAACAGCAGAGCCATTAACAGGGTTCCTTAAATTATAATTATAATTACTAACATAGTAGAGTTTAATACAAAATACAATTAAGGACACATCGTTAAGCTTATCTTAAACAGTATGACATATAAATCGCAGAAAGAATAGTACATAATATGCTTATATCATGAATCAACCAGGTTATTATCGAAGTTATACAGTCGACTCTGTCTGAAGGTTCTCTCCCTTCTTTGAATATTGCGCGTAATAGGTACGCAATAGAAAATATTAGTCTTAATGGGCATTCAAAATGCGCGCTTAAATTATTAACTCTGATTGGTCATAGTACTCAAAAATAGGGAAATATTCTGGAACCTTTAGACAGAGTCGACTGTATAGTTTATTAAATGCATCGAAGAATTGATCAAGTAGATAATCAATATAAGTGAAGGTTTACCAGATGATGTGATTCTTATACATATTGCATCCACATCTTCGTATTTGTTTATGTGACTAGAATCCAAAATTACGCGCGCAAGCGCCTTAACTATAGAGTTTGCATATATTTTCATGCTTATGATATATTCGACCAATCACACATACATTTCATCTCTACTTCACTATTAACATGTAACTTAACCTCAATTTTAGTTATGGACAATTTACTTGGAAGAGCTATCAAGGTCCAATGCTGCCAACAGTGAAAGTTACAACGTAACTATGAATATTTTGCTAGAATTCTGGGGTAAGGTTACCCCAAATATTCTTCAGTTGGTATCAACATCAAAAGTCGTAAGTACTTGCCAATTAAAAATTGGGAAACATAACCATGATTCACAATGTTAATCTTAGTTGGCAGAAATGGTCAACTTGCACTTCCTGAGCCTACTGGAGGCACTTTTAGAGTGTCAATCGGTTCTACTGAGCAAACTGTTCCCCCTTTGGAGTCAGATTTTGTTTTCTCAGCACGTCCAGCTGCCCGGACACTTGCAAATGCGGTTAAAAAACTGCAGGAACTTTCCACCGACCCGCATGGCGGACAACTACATCTCAAACAGGCGCGAGTCTAACGCCATGTTGTTGCGATGGTTACGCCGCCTGCAGTTCAGAATGGGACAGATAGAGGTCCAGTCGTCTACAGTAACGACCCAGTTTTATTCTATATAATTTGTTGATAAGTTAATAAGATTTGGTGAATAAAAAGATTTAAAAATATCAATTTCTCTTTTAAAAAATAATTATTTATTAATAAATAACAATTTACTACTATTTATAATTACAAATCTTTTAAAGCACGCAGGTCATGATCACTGGGTTCTTCTTTTATAGAGTAATTCAGCTTGAAGCTCCGGTGGAGTGACGAGAAATTTACACTAGGGTCCAGTTCTTCGTCTGGAATCGGACTTGATCCATTCTCGATTGAATTTTTGCTCACCTCGAATTTTTGAGGCTTGTAAAGCGGCAATTTTCGGGTGCCAGGCGAACTTTGGATTAAGTTCTGTATTGTAGGGTGGGAAATTCCAAAAAAACTCGCGCCTTTTGGTGTTATGTTCATTAATAAAGGCGAGAGGGCTTGGAGTAAGCGGCTATGACATTCGTCGGGGGTTGAACCAACTAGCGGTTGGTCTAAGTCTGTATCTGATACTATTTCAAACCTAAAAAATTATAATTATTATATTTTGATGAGTTTGGGGACATTTTAAAGAAATTTTGATGAATTGTATAACATTAAAAAGGCACTAATTCAGATCTTGATCTTTCTAATGACACTAAATTTAATTTAAAAAACCAATTTTAAAGTCAAAATTTTCCTTATTATCATATAATCCTGAATTCTATTTATATTTTTATAAAATATTGTTATTATGAGTGTCTTGAATATAAATATGTTAACTAATACTAACTTGTCTGCACATTTAAATGACTTTTGTAATTTATATAATCTATACATTATTTCATTTAGTGCTACACATCCTACTGCTAGATAAATAACTGTAATTACTAAAATGTTCAAATTCATATTCTTTCTTTTCTTTTGTTTTATAGTACTAAAGTCATTAGATAGTAATCTGGATAGATTTTGTTTAGAGACAACGTTACTTTTCTTATTTCTTATTTTTACTGTCTTATTATTTTATATCCATTACTGTTGAACTAATTTTATTATTACTATGTATTCATTTCTATGTAAGGCCCTTAGGGAGCTAAGGCTTCAGGGTCTAAAAATTTGGTAAATAAGTAAATAAATATATAAATAAAAACCTTGGCTTGGCCCCTCCGTCGACTATTTTACAAGTATAAAGACTCGGACTCTGAATATTCTTCAAGCTGGCGTACAACCGAGTGCTGCAGAACCCGACTGGATAAATAAACTCATCTGTATGATAACCTAACCGGTCAGTGACAATTTCTCCTAAAGAATACACTGTCAAGTCTCCGAGCGAGATGGGAAACAACGGCCGGCCGTTGATGTCCAGAGGAATCAGCTGGACAACTCTTCTGCTTCCTGGCTTGCATCTTTTCGCTTTTTTCCCACCTAAAAAATCAACAATTAACAATCAGCTAATTCTTTAATTAATAATTATAAGAAATACTTACTTGTCTCTCCAGCGTCTATCGAATTCCGCTTCTTACTTTTTTTAGTCACACCCTCGCAGGACATTGATGCATTTAAATTGTTCATCTTACCTGGAAGTGGTCCGTCAGAAGACTCACCTTGGAATTGCGTTAATTTTTTTAATAAATATAACCGTTCTTCTTTTACTATCACTAAATTTTCTTGGGTTTGAGCTACTTGATCACATAAAGCTGCATTTTCCTTAATAAAAAAATTAATTATTAAAATAAATTAATAAATAAAAATGATACTGAAGTTTAAAATTTTAATAACAAATTGCAATGAAAAATGCTTCTAAAAATTTACACTTATTATTTTTATTAATTTTCACATGTGCAATTTTTTTATTAAATTGTTATTTATAATAATTTAATTGCTATAAAATTAAAAAAAAATTTTTAATGTCTGTCAACTTCAGTGTCATAAATAAATGAATTTAATTACTAAAATGAATTAATAAATAAAAATAATTTAACTATTAAAATAAATTTTTTAATAAAAAAATTTAATTTTTAAATAAATTATTTAAAATAAATAATTAAAAAGTAATTATTTATAACCTATAAATTATTAATAAAATTTAAATACTTATCATTAAAATTAAAAAACATACTTACAAAAACAAGATCTTTAACAAGTCGCTTTAATTTTTTATATTTCTTATTATAAATAATATTATCTTCACTTTCACTGTCTATTTTATTAAAATTTTTATAATCCATCTTAATGTCTATTTTATTTATTTATTTTTAATTACGTACTGTCATATTTTAACCTTTCATGTCATATTTTAACAAATTAACTTCAATGTAAATCACTAATCTCACTTAAAACTGTCATTTTTTATCACAAGATGGCGGGGCATAAAAGTTCTTAAAATGGCTGCCATTAAAGCGCCAAAAAATTTATCTCAGCAAATATATTTTATAAAAAAAAATAACTTTACACTTTGACATTTAAAATAAATAATTAATTACATATTTTAAAAATAATTAGTTCACTTACTTGGTAATTCTCCAACTTAAACTCCTCCGTGGTCTCATTTTCTTTATTTTCTTTTTAATTTACTCACTAAATTCACTAAAACACTTATAATTAATAATTTTTACTTAAAAAAACATAATTTTATTTATTAAAATAAATAAAATACAACATTTATAGTGTAATTAGTAATTTTTACAATGATTGTCACCTTTTTTTATTTTTTAGATGCTGACTGTAGCTCGGCTTTTGTCCAACTGACGTTCTAGAAGAAACCGTTTTTAAATTTTGACTTTTGCGCATGCGCATACGCAAAAACCAAAATACGCATGCGCAAAATTTAAAAATATTTTAGCGCGAAAATTCAAATTTTAAATATTTATTTTAATAATCTTAATTGTAATTAATTTATTAAAATAATTTAATATATTTAATAATAATAAACCAGTCTTTAGAAAAAATAATAATAATAATTTTTATAATTAACAATTTATTTATTTAGATGATTATGTGACTAGAAATACAGAAATAAATTTACTTAGTTTGATAAATAGAAATATTAATTTGTTTTTAAAATTACAATAAACCTGAATAGTGTAATTAATAATTTTTCATTGTAAAATATTGAATTATTTATCAATTATCATAGACGTTCGTTGTCTAACTACGAAAAAATTCTACTTCATTTGGTCAACACACTAATTTCATCACAATTTTCTATCAATAAATTTCAAATTCCATAAATTCGTTAAATATTTAACCAAAAATAAATATTTGTCATTTTTATAATATATAATATACAATATATATATTTATAATTATAACTAAACACTAAATCTAATCTAACCGAATTCTCAGTTTATAATAATTATAATTATAATAATAATATAAGCGAAAGCTTGTAACAGCAGAAAAATATTTACCATGCATTTAAAAAAAAAATATCAAATTTCAATTCTTAACAATTTTTCTCTACAATAAATTCCTTGAACATTTCTAACAAAAATAAATCGAAATCTAACAAATTTTATTTTTAAATATCTAGTATTATCATTAAAACTATTTATAATATGAATAATTAAAGTAATTAAGACACGATTATTTTTATTAGAATTAAAATTGTGCAAGATTAATTTTTTTTTTTTTTTTTTTTTTTTATTTACGTAAATTCTTTCATTATTGCATATCAGTCTGTAAAATTTTTAATTATTAATTATTGTTTAAGATACTTTAGAGATTCATTTTTTTTTTTAAGCAAACAAATTTTTATAAGAAAATATTAAATTTTTTTTTTAATAAAATAAAATTAATTTTTAACAATTTAGAATTTTAATTTAAATAACTTTTATAATTTTAATTAAACTTAACATATTTTATTTTAATTTAATAGATAAAAAAAATTTTTTAAAAGACTCAATAAGATTTTTTTTATAAAAATTTAAGAATTAAAAATTTTTTTTAATTAAAAAAAAATTTTTTTTTTCAGTTCAAAAATTAAAAATAATGGCACAAAATAAAAATAAAAATTTAAGTATAACCAAACTGGACTTTCCGACACTGACACAGCCATTTAATAATTCTGGCATTGCGTTCGACAATACTCGGTGGATCACTGACACGCTGGCTGGTGTCCTCTTGAGCAGTGAGACAATTACCAGTAGCATTTCCACCGCCGGGCCAGTTCTGCCCGGTCCCATTGCTGGACTGATTATTGCCGGTCCAAGGATGGAGGCCCAGCGCGGAATCCACAGAGCTGACGCTCTCGAAAAAGACCGGCGAGGAGGCGTTGGAACCTGGTACCGTTATCTGTTCGTAATTCTCGGTGTCCAGGCCGAGACGGTCGAAGAAATTCTCCAGCTCGGTGAGAGACCTCGGCGGGTTCAGCCGCGGTTTTCGCTGGTGTAGCAGCGGGTTCTCGCGGTAGTACCGGTCGCTTATGTCTGACTTTGATCTCAGGATTGGTCGGTTGCGGTTTTCTTTCCAGCCATCGGAAAATCTGGGAAAAATATAAAAAATACATAATTAAGAAATGACCTTGTATCTTGTGAATTATTGACATTTTTAAAGATATAAGCTCACCCTGTCATTACACTCATCAAGACCTTTCATTTGAGTACCCACATCAATATTTTCATATATTTATATATTTATATATATGTATATATGAAAAATATATCAAAAATGCATGTGGGTACTCAAATGAAAGCTCTTGATGAGTGTAACATCAGGATGACCTTATATCTTTAAAAACGTCAATATATAAGCAAGTACAGTGCAATTTAACAATAGTAATTATTTAATCAAAATTCGGCCGCGATAGCCGTGCGGATTAATGCGTTAGTCTGTACAGATATCGTGCCGAGAGGCGCGGGTTCGAGCCCCAGCGGTTGTTAGAAAATTGATTTCAACAACAACCGCTGAGGGTCGCTCTCGTAGCCGAACTGTACTGACCAGGTTTTCTGTGGTTTTCCTTGGTCACTGTGCTAAAAGCTTAAATGGGCAGGCACAGGCCAATGCGTACAGCACTTGTAAGTCGGTCACAGCCGCTACCTCGAACGCACTAAGGTGTGGTAGAAAAAATCTACCACACTGAGGGGGTGGGGGGTGCAAAACAAGGGGAAAAATAAATGTGATAGTTACAAAGGTATAACCAAGAGTGAAAAAAGTGAGGACTAAAAAGTGGAAGAATAAATAAAAATCCCCACCCTCTCCTTGTAAAAACACACTAAGGTTGTATACAAGTAAAAATCATATTTATTTATTTAATCAAAACAAAATTTTTATTTTTATTCCTACCTGGAGTTGCACGTAGGACTGTAGTCAGTCTGACTGTCACTACTTTCAGACCCGGGACTGTATGTCCTGATGACGGTGGTCGTGTGGATATTAATATAGCTCCCTCTTCGAGAACGCGGGTGCTCGTTCGAGTGCTGAGTAGACGCCCCGCTGTCTCGTCGAACATGACTCCAACAGTCCTGAAAAAAAAAACACAAATGTTAGTGGAAAAATTCTAAGTAAATTTTCCGGGACGGAAAATTTTAGACACCATACCTGTATCCTTGGCGGAGGCTCACTGCGATGAGTGCAATGCCCTGAGGAGCCTCCAGAGTCCCTGGCGTTGGCTCCGTGGCTCAATTTACTTGTGTTATGCACGAGGTGTACTTAACAGAGGAGCACCAATTACTTTGTTGAAAGGTCATAATCATTCTCAAAATCATAATTTAAAGCTGATTTTTGATTTTAAGTACGAACTCTTTAAGGCTGTAACATCTAATTTGTGTGATTTGAGAAGTATTTATGATGAATTAAGTGTTAAGTATGTGTGTATTTTTTACTTAAAAAAATATGTTGAAACTTTATTTTCGATAATCTATTCCACAAATTACTAATTTTATTTATGCTTCACGGTAATATTTTAGATACCCCCGAGGTTCCTCTCTTCTGCCATTTTCTCGAATGGTGAGAGAGTCATGCAGTAGTGGCGAAGGAAGATTTGTCCACCGACTCCTACGTCTCTCGGCGAATACTACTTGCGTCTGAAGCTAGATCGCTGGAAGCACTTATATAAATCGAATAATAGTAATTTAACAGTCACCAAGGTTTATGGCAGAGATGGATCTATTGCTACGGTTTTCATTGATCCTGATTTTTTAGAAAATGTTCAGACTACAAATTTGTACATCGATGCTACTTATAAAGTTTGCCCAACTATGCCAAAAAACATCTATCAGTTTTTTACAATTATGGCATCAATAAATAATTCGGTATTTTCGATGAAAAAAAAAAAAAATATTTTAGCATTTGTTTTACAAAAAATTTGATTTGATGAATATTATTTTTTATTCTAGATTTTGCCTGTTGCCTGGAGTTTAATGTCAAGGAAATCTACAGATTGTTATGTAGCTGTCATTGATCACTTCAAATCTTTATCCCAACATATTATTGTATTATCATACATGACAGACTTTGAAACTGGTCTTCGTAAAGCATTAAAACTCTCGTATCCAAATGCAACCGCTGAATCATGTTATTTTCATTTTATACAGGTGAGTTATTAAATTAATGGAATCTTAAGTTAGTCCCTTTATACTCGTTTATGAAGTATTTTTATTATACAAATTACTATTAGCACTTTTATTTTACTAGGCTAACATGAAAAAAGCTAAAAAACTTGGATTACTGAAAAAATTAGAAAATTGGGAAGATGGAAGAAAATTTTTTAGGAAGTTATTAGCATTAGCATTATTACCGAGTACTGACATCATACCAACATTTAACTGGTTACTGGTGATCCGTACACCTTTTTATCTCATTTTCAAAGATTTTATTAATTACTTCGTTGATTACTGGTTGATGACAATTAAACCTGATGGATTTTGTGTATATAAATTAAAAAATCGCACAAATAACTTTACCGAAGCATATCACCGAAGACTAAACAAATTCTTTGGCTTACATCCATCACTGTGGCAATTCACAGGTAATAATTTGGTTATCACTTCAATAGTACGTACTTGATTTTATTTGAATAACATTATACATCGAAATTTTTAGCAAGTCTAAGAGATTTTCATGATATGACTAAAATTGAAATAGAATCGGTATTATTACTAACGCTTCCCATACGAAGAGCTCCACGGCCGAATAATTTAATTAGAGCTGAAGTCTTAGAGAGAGCATGGGATATGTATGAATCGAATGTACTAGATATTGCTCATTTTATTGAATTCGCTGCTCATATGTCACCAGTTTTAAGAAATAGAAATGTTATGATTAATATTGAAGACATCAATAATTTTATCAATATTCCTATCTACAGATACAGTAAGTATTGAAAACTCTACGAAAATTATAAAATATGTCTGATATCTATCTAAAATTAATTTTTATTAGTTGCAGTGCCAGGTAATAATTACATTGTTTTTAATAATGATGCAGCAAATCAGTTGGACTATATAATACATGAACAACCGAATGAATAATTCATTAACAGTGTAACGAGTCAAATGATCTCATAAAAATGGCTCGAATTCACTGTGTCTTTATTACTACTTATAATTTGTATTTTTCCTGTATTATATCTCGCATTTATTAATTAGTTTTTTTCATGTTTAAGGAAATAACTGGCTTCATTACAAGATGATTGATCAATCTATAATATAATTATTTCATGTAATAAATGTCACTAAATAAATACACATGACTTATTTTCCATAAGACATTCTCATTGGATCATTTTTATTTTAAGTTAAAAAGTCAAATTACTTTCGCTCAAATTTATCAGTGAATTACAATATAATTACTACTTTAGTAATAAACTAATAAAGAACTTTAATTAACTTTATTTTATTAATTAAAAATATTAATTATAAGTCCATTGGACATTTCTATTTAAGTGGTAGGATTCGGTTTTTAAAATAGATGCGGTATTTTTTCTCTTTTCTCGACGAAGTACGTGTAGCCGTTGGTAATAAAGGAAGATTCTCTATCGACAAATTATTTCATTTCGGGAGAATCTTGTTTCTGATAGTTATTACATTTTTTGTTTTCTCATTCGAGTATTTTTCAGCTCGGTTATTTGTTCATTCCATTTCATTAGCTAATCGAAAAGAATAACTACTTATTATTTACTTTCGAAACATAAATTTTTCTCTCCTAAACCATATTCAAGTATCGTTGATTTCGAACACATTCATTAGTCGTTACTTAGTTCAGAGTCAAACTTTTCTGGCACCTGTAAACGTAAATATAAATTTATTTTGAGTGAGCGAACAATTGAAAGGTAAATTTATAGAAACAAATTTTTAAATTATTTTTGATTATAGAAATAATTTGTGAACAAAATTTTTGAGGAAAAAGTTAAATTAATTTGTGAACGTAAATTTAAATTCATTTTGAGAAGATGCTAAAACTTAGATATGAACGAAAAATCTAAAGTAATTTTTTTGAAAGTACAGCAAAAATAATTCAAGAGCAAAAAAATTTGAAATAATTTTGAGGAATTAATAGAAATAATTTGAGAATTAAATATTTTTATTAGTTTTGAGAACACAAAAAAATTAATTTATAAATGAAACATTTAAGGAAATATAGTAAAAATAATTTGTGACCGAAACACTTAAGGTCATTTTTGAAAGTACATCTATAAAATAATTGGTAAACGAAAAATTTTAAGTAATTTTGAGAATAGAAGATTTTATTTGTGAACAAAAAAAAAAACCAAAGTAATTTTTTTTAAGTACTAGTCAAATAATTTAAGAACGAAAAAATTAAATCGAAAAGTATTTTTTTTTTTATTTTTGGGTAGAAAAGTTGATATCAAGTTTTTTATCGTTGCTATAAGTCGTTTATAATCTTATGTGAACATAAGAGCTTATATGTATAGAGAAAAAAAATTTACTATCTCATTAGGAGCAACTAGCCAAGGCAGATCAGGGGACACTACATCACTGCAGTTAAGAGGCATTAGTCATGGTAAATACTTGGATGGGTGACCGCTAGTAAATTCGTATTCTAAGCTGCGAGCGATACCATTTTTTTTTTTTTTAATTTCGAAGAAAATATATTTTAATGTACTTGATTGTCTTCAATTTAAGCTCTTTTTTAATATTAATTACAATACAATTAAAACTGAAAATGTCTCCTCTATAAACTATTTTTTTCTGGAGTCAGAAAGGGCTCTTAATTCTGACTTCTTGAAGAACTCTTTTTGTGAAGTCAGAAAAAAGAGCTCTTTAAGAACTCTCTATGAAGTCCTGATTCACTCTTTAGGTGGCGCATTAGACGTCTTCAAAACGTCTTGGAGACCTCATTTTGATCAAAATTCTGACGTCTAAATCTTAAATAAGAGTTCTTTGAGAACTGCAAAAGACGTCATATTGCTATCTGGGACGGTTCACCCTAAATGCCATCCCTGCAACTTTCCGCTCATTTTGTACTTAAATGCTTCAAACTACACATTACGTTTTTGAGCTCTTCGAGGTCAAAAATATTATTTTTGTGTCAATTTGAGCTCTTCGAGCTCAAAACTCTAATAGCAGTTTAAAGACACAATTTTTTGAGTTTTCAAACAGCAATAACTTTTGAATGAATAAACCGATTTTCACGCGGTTGGCGGCAATCGACGCAGTTTTTGAAGCTCCATGAAAAACTTTCAAATTTAAATCAATCGAGCCATGAATTTCGAAGTTATTACAAAAAAACACTTTTTTCGATTTTTTTCGACAACGATATCTCACGAAAGCATCAGCCGATTCTAACGGTTTTGGTGGCGATCGATGGGGGTTTCCAAGGTTAAGAGCTGATTAGATTTTGAGACCGATCGGTTCAGCCAATTCGGAGATATTTGAAAAAAATAAAAAAAAAACTTTTTTTTTCACTTTTTTTGCATTTTCTCGAAATCTACCGGTCCGAATCGGTTCAAATTTTCAGGAAATCTAAGTTTAGTGAAGCCCTTTCGAATGACAACAACCGCGATGAAATCGGTCAAGTCGTTCAAAAGTTACAAGAGGTTTACATACACACACACACACACACACACACACACACACACACACACACACACACACACACACACACACACACACACACACACACACACACACACGTCATCTTACCGACCACTTTGCATGCTAGATACGGCGGGTAAGATATTTGAGCGCATAATTCATCAACGAGTAAATGCAGTAGTCGACCCACTCCTGGCAGACAATCAGTATGGATTCCGGAAAGGACGATCAACCCTGGACGCAATCAAACTGGTTGTTGATACGGCCAAGGAAGCAATCGCAGAAACCAGATGGAAGGGTGGAACGAAAGAGTATTGCCTGGTGGCGACCCTAGACATCAGAAACGCATTCAACTCCGCCAATTGGGAATGCATCATGCAGGCCCTCCAAGAGAAGAATGTACCAGAATACCTTCTTAAGATCGTAACAAGCTACTTTGAAAATAGGGTCTTGAAGTATGACACGAAGAACGGTCCAAGGGAGTATGATATTACTGGAGGTGTACCACAAGGTTCAGTTCTAGGCCCGCTCCTATGGAATATTATGTATGACGGTCTATTAAGACTAACTCTGCCAAGAAACATCAAACTCGTAGCATATGCAGATGACGTAGCCGTAGTGATTGTTGCCAAACACCTTGACGAGATAAACCATATGTTTGATCTTACTTTTGAGCGCGTTAACCGGTGGATGGACGCAGTAAACTTGCAACTGGCGCAACACAAGACTGAGGCAGTGCTTATTACCAGCAGAAAAGTGGTAGAGACCATTAAGCTGAAAGTCGGCGAACAAGAAATCACATCACAACCTTATATCCGATATTTGGGAGTGATGCTTGATGTCCGACTCAACTTCAAGCAGCAAGTGGAGCATGTCAGTGCCAAAGCATCACTAGTGAGGGCTAGTCTAGCACGACTGATGCCGAACGTCGGAGGCCCAAAGCAGAGCAGGAGGCTATTACTGTCATCAGTAGTCACATCGGTGCTCACTTACGGAATATCCATTTGGGCCGACGCACTAAAGACGCAAGAATCATGGAGAAAGGCTGGACCAGTATATCGACTGAGTGCCCTACGAGTAGCTAGCGCCTTTCGCACAATATCAGAGGATGCAGTGTGTGTTATTTCCGGTACTCTGCCTCTCAGAGTCCTAGCTGAGGAAAGACGGAACCGATATCAGCGAAAAAGGTCAACCACACTGAGCCCTGAAGAACTTAGAAGCGAAGAACGGCAACACAGCATCGCACGATGGCAACAAGAGTGGAACGCTTCAGATAAGGGTCGGTGGACGTACCGTCTCATACCTCAGATTGATGAGTGGTTTAACCGGAGTCACGGTGAGATCAACTATTACTTAACGCAGATGTTATCAGGACACGGATGTTACCGGAAGTATCTCCACCGCTTTAAGCATGACGATACCCCAGAGTGCCCGTCCTGTCCAGGGGTCAATGAAGATGCGGAGCATGTCTTCTTTGTGTGTCCACGTTTCAACCAACAGCGCAATGAGTTAGAGAAGATTCTGAAGAAGAGAACCCAACCAGAGTCAATAGTAGAGGCAATGTTGTCGTCAGAAGCTGCCTGGAACGCCACAAGCATTTTTGCTACAAAAGTGCTTACCGAGTTGCGATCCATTGAGAGGAAAAGAGCGAAAGACCGAATCTAGAAGGAAGAAATAACATCTTAGCCACCAGAAGGAAGAGCGGCAGCTAATTCCTCCCCCCGCGAAGAAATACCTTACGGCGGTACCATGGGGGATCAGAGGATAGAAGAGAAAGGGGTTTAGGGTTTAGTGGGTAGGAGCGTCAGCGTCGAGTCGCCACATATCCGGGCCAACATCTATGCCTAGAATCCGTAAAAAAGACACACACACACACACACACACACACACACACACACACACACACACACACA